ATTTTTATAGATTTTAAGTAAAGTATAGACTTTATATAGGTTAATCAATTCGTATTAATGCGAGAAATCAGTTTTTCGGACAAAAAAAATTGAGCACCCAGATCAAAAAACTCGAATTGCGCTCGGACGAACTTTATCAAGATAGTCAAGCCCGACAAAAATTAAAAAAAATAAAATGTCATTTTGCGTATATTTATTCTCTATATGGTTGTATATTTTAAAATTTCAGAATTTTATTTTTTTTTAATTTTTGTCGGGCTTGACTGGCTTGACAACGTTTGTTCGAGCGCAAATCGAGTTTTTTTGATTCGGGTGCTCAATTAAATTTACAGTATAAAGAATTTTTTGGTTAAAAAACGTATTTTCGAATTTTTGAAAGTGCCATAAAAAAATTATGTGGATATTTTTGGAAATCTCTGTGACTGATTTTAGATATTGATGACTGCAATAAGCCTACAAAATTTCAGGACAATCCATCAAAGAGTGTTGGAGATAATTTGTACACAAGATTTTGTGACATACACACATACACACACACACATCTGGACATTTGTTTAAAACTTCAAATATATGGGCCAATCCACGAAACCTTTAATTTTCAAGAAAAAAATTTCTTTTTTTAATTTCCAGGCACATTGATGTCACTTTGTATACACGTTTAAGTACATTTTAGCACTACAAATTCATATGCGTGATTCATTTTTAGCTCACGCCGTCAATGTTTAACACTTTAAACTCTTTAATGTTAATAAATTACATATAAAATTGAAAAATTCAACTTTTTTTATTTTTGATATCGGAGTGGTTTCCTAAGTATTTTCGTCCTCTAAACACGATTCTGACACCCAAATTTGCTTAGCACGTCAGGATTTTGAGAAAAGAGGGCGTAAAGACTCCAAAAAAGTGTTTTCAGCATATTCTTAACTTAATAAAATTTATTTCACTCAAAATCCTTAAGCGGCGTTTTTGTGTTCAAATATATGTATAAAAATGTTTCGATCACACCATACCCTACTAAAAATCCCTGTATAAGATCTTGTACAATTTCCTGTACCGGATCAGCAACTGAACTTGTACAAGTTCTGACCAGTTCCTGTACAGGAAAATGCATACGAATTTGGAACAAATTCATGTGTGAGATCTTGTACAAGAAAGATACTTGTAAAAGAAAATGTACATGATCTTGTACAATTTCATGTATAAGTACTTGTACATGAACACGTTCATGTTCTTGCACATGTATAGTTGTAAAAATTTTTTTTTTTAATAAAATTTGAGATTTTGATAATTTTTAATCACTAAGATTCGTAACTCATGCATGCTTAAAACTATTGCGCAGCTGTAAAGGTTAAAGTAAACTATTGCGCAGCCTTTGAAGTTTTTAATTTTTAGTAAAGAAAAACATGAATTAACATGTGCAAGAACATGAACGTGTTCATGTACAAGTACTTATACATGAAATTGTACAAGATCATGTACATTTTCTTTTACAAGATCTTGTACAAGATCTCACACATGAACTTGTTCCAAATTCGTATGCATTTTCTTGTACAGGAACTGGTCAGAACTTGTACAAGTTCAGTTGTTGATCCTGTACAGGAAATTGTACAAGATCTTGTACAGGGATTTTCAGTAGGGTAGATTGACCTGTTTAAAGCAAAAATGCAATTGTGCCTTTCAAAAATGTATAAATTTAAATGAAATCACGATTTTTATTATCATCTTTAAATTGTTGCCACAGGAATACAATTAAAAGCACATCATTGAAAAAGGTCTTAAATTTTTTGTTTTTTTCATCACTTTTTAAGAAATGCATTGAACTTTTATTTTTATCCAACGCCGTAATAGATATTTTCGTAAGAAGACGTTCAATTGAATTGTTTTAAAAAGTGCTATCACTCAATCAAACCTTCGTATTTTTAGTTTTAGTGGTGGCACACTAATGGGATAGTGAAAATTTTTTGACAAAATATGTCTGTTTGATATTTCCATAGTAGCTAAAGTGATATTTTACACGCCGCAAAAATAAAAACGTTAAGAATATAAACTTTTTCAAGAAATTCAAATGAAATTTAAGCATTTTTTCACTTTTTAACTTATAAAACTAATTGTCAAATAAATATTTTTTTGTAATACTGTACATAAATGTTGCTTTGTATCTAATTTAGCAAAAAAAAATTAAACCCAAAGTTTTAATTAAAAATAATTCAGATTTTTAAGTGTTCGATTCGAGAATCACAAACGTTTAAAGTTTCGTGGATTTGCCCATATGCATTCTAGGTAAAAATAAGCCCATGTAACACATTTTTAAAAAATCGAAAATCGTCACGAATACAAAGCTTCATCGAGAGGAGAGGAAGCAAAAAATTGCTTGAGAAAAGTTGTTGGTTTTCGAAAAAACTATGAATTAAGTGGGTGCTTTGCAATAAAACAATATCTCATTTTTAAATTTAATTGTTAACAATTATTATAATTATAAACATAGTTAAAAACTAATAACAAAATGATATTAAAATTATATAAAATTACAATTAATAATTTATTATTAATATTATTATTATTATTTTGATTAATACTGTTATTTTATTTATTTTAATTTTGTTAAAAGCAATGTTTCTAACCATATTAAATTATTCACAATACTAGTAAAATTAAACGCGCGCAAGCGCGCCAAATTAAGTATTTAATTGTTTGTTATAAAGAAATTAAAGATTAATATTATCAATAATAATTTAATTTATTAGAATATTATTACATATTAAATGATAATAATGAAAATTATATGTTTACAGGCCTCGGATTATACGACTTTTTCCGACTTTTTTCAAAAATACCACTTTTATCGACCTATTTTAATAAAAGGAGACATTTTTTTTACATTTGAAAAAAAATGTAAATAAAATACATTTTTTTAGTATAAAATGTAGATCTTCAGATCTTCTTCAATTCAATTATTAAACAAATTATGAACTAAAATGATTCTTCACTAAATTAATTATTTTTAATAATTTTAATGAAATACATCACAAATTCAATTATATCAAAATTATTTTTCAACTAAATTTTTTATGAAATTTAACAATTCTTTATAATTTAAAAAAAATATATCACAATAAAATTGAATTATTTTTTAAAAATTTCAATTCAAAATAAACTAAAATTCAATTATTACCCGAAATTTTAATTCAAAATCAATTAAAAATCCAATAATTATCCAAAATTTTCAATTTAAAATTTAATTATTTACCAAGTTTTCAATTTAAAATGAAATAAAATTCAATTATTTTCTAAAATTTCTATTCAAAATTAATTATCCAAATTTTCAATCAAAAATGAACTTAAATTAAATTATTATCCAAAATTTCAATTAAAATTCAATTATTTCCCAAAATTTTCAATTCAAAATGAACTGAAATTCAATTATTTTCCAAATTTAAAATCAAATAAAATTTCATTATTCTCAAAAATTTGAATTCAAAATTAATTGAATTTTCAATAATTTGAAAATTAACAATATCTTTTAAAATTTAATTATTTCTAAAAATTTTAACTTTAACCCTTCAAAAAGGATTTTTATTAAAAAAAAATTTTTTTTTTTAAAAATCTAAAATATTTTTGTTAAAATAAAAAACAAATCCACTTTTTTTTGGAATATAAATCGACTAAAACGACTTTTTTGTGTCTTTAAGTTGATTCGAGGCCTATGTTTTTATAATTAATATTTAATAGGTATTCGTTGGCCCCTGGTACCTTAAAAATTAATTTTTAAAAATAAATTTTTTTCAAATTACTATCTTGTACGAAATTTCCTGGCACATCTTTTTTCTCATCATAAATTTTTTGTATTTGTATACAATTTTTGAATCAATATGCAAATTTAAAAAAAATTTCGTTGGTAAACGTTGTGTACTTTAGCTTCGTGAATTGAATTTTCGAATTTGGAATTTTAAAGAAACTTATTCCGAAATTTGGAAACGCAATTATACAACTTTGGCAAAAATGAGAAAAAGAATTGTCAAAATTTGACAAGTCATAAGATTACTATTCAAAAAAACACGTGAAATCAGAAAAGGCCAACTTCAAGTTAGGACAGAAGGACAGACCAAGCATTTTATTGTTATATAATTGTTGACTTACCATTTTCTTTTGTTTTTCAATCGAATTGTAATGAATTAAATTTGAGGCTATTTTATGATTTTAATATTATTTACTAAAAACTCATTTAAAAACGCAATAAATAGATAAATGAATTTACTTGGTTTTTATTATTCAAAAACCTCAATTTCGAAAAATTGGCGCTTGTCCTTTTGTCATTCTACCCTTCAAAAATTATACTTCGAATTATAGACTAATAATGTTGGATCATATTCTACAGATAGTAAACTAACTTTTAAAGCAAGAAAAAAAATTATAAATAATTTTTTTACATGAGTTTCCCCTCTTAAACACTTTTTGAATTATAATGATTCTTAAAAAATACAAAATTTGAGGTTACAAAGTAACATCCTTGAACTTTCTACATTTAATTATTAATTCTATCAATAAAAAAAGAAAATTTACTCTGCAATAATATGATTAAGGAATTAAGAAAATATTCGCCTGAAAAATAAGAGATTTTTAAATAAAATTGCTTAAAATTTTTTTAATTATGTTAACATACATTTTTTTAGTGCGCTTGAGCGATAGTAGTGCAAATTTATTTATAGAAAGATTATTTACTTAAGATATTTAAGTTTATAATTGATAAAGCTGAAGTTATCAACGTTTACATCGACAAAATAAGAAAACAAAACTTTTTAATCTATTAGTAAACTATGTCTCCCCCTGCTGGTTAAGAATTTAAAGTTTTTAAGAGTATAATGGGGGGGCCATAATTAAAGTTTCTTTTAAAGCAATAAAGACTATTTGCTTAATTGTTCATTAAAAAAATTCTTTTTATTATTTTATCGACATTAAATTTGGAAGCTTCAGCATATTTATAATTGAATGTTATTACTCACCTTTTCCCTGATTTCAAGAACTTTACACATATCTGCTAGAAGACTTAGAGTCAGATTAATAATCTCAAGATTTCGAAATTGTAAAAGATCTATTAAAAGATTTAAATTTTCTTCCTTGATAAATTGCTTTTCATATTTTGAATCAGCTTTAGTCCTTTTTAAAATTGAAATAATTTTTTCTTGAGAATTATTACTTATATATTTTGATAATTTGTTAACTATTTGAAAATCCTCATTTTGAAAATCCGATGACATTTCTCGAAATTTGTTATTAAATAACAGAAAATATGAATTATTATAGAAATAACATAACCTTAAAAATATCCAGCTGATTTTTTGACAAAAACCAGAGGTAGGAAAGTAGTATAGGCATGCATGAGAATCGCTGTAGCAGACCGTTAAGGGACTTACACACCTCAGCTGTCTGTGCAAGCAGCAATTAGAGTAAAAGAGAGAGAAAATTTGAATTAGGCTGTGTCACACTACGTCGAGATATTTCGAGTTTGAGTATGACGTCAGATAGCTGGAGGGAAAATAAACGGACGACACAATGTTATTCTTATGGGAAAAAATTGAGTCGGTATCAAAACTACACAAGAATTTTCATAAAAAAGTTATATTGTACAAAACATAAAAATTGTTATTTTTTACATTATACTTTCTTAATGTTGTTTTTATTTTTTGTAAATTTTAACTTTTTTTTAAATGAAAATTTTTTTTTTTTAATTTGTTATTTTGTACATTGAATTTTTTTTTGTTTTTTCTTAACGTTATTTTTTACATAATTTTTTTAGTTATTTTTTACATAATTTTTTTAGTTATATTTTACCTAATTTTTTTTGTTATTTTTTACATATAGAAAAAAAAATTTTCGTTATTTTTTTGGGGCGGTTTGAGGTGCCCACAAACTGAATGCATACATTGAAACTGTATATAAGCTGCATTTACAAGTACAAATTAATTTTAACATTAATTCGTATGCAGTTTAAAGTTTGGGTCAGTTGGGGTAAATGGGGACAAAATCCCTATTTTTCACAAATTACGTAAGTTGCTTCCTTTAAAAGGTAATATTTGCTGGTTTATATTTTTTTAAGTTGTTATTTACATTCCCAGGATTAATTTTATGCAGCAGAAATAAATTTAGATAAGCTTTAAACGCATGAAACTGACTGTCCTTATTTACAGTAAGATTTAAAAAAAAAATTTAAATTTGGGGTAAATGGGGACAGCATAGTTTCTACGAAGTTTAAGAAAAACGTTTCCTTAAGTATATTACTGTATTAAGGGATGGAAAAACTTGAAAATTTTTGTCAATTTGGTTAATAATAACACTAAAAATTTGAAAACTCCGAGTAAATGGGGACAACTTGTTAATATTAACCAAATCGACAGTGGATTTTTGTTAGGAAATCATAAGGAATAAGAAAAAATTTTTGTATGATTTTTAAGTTTGTTTTCTTTGAAATGCGAGACAAAATACTTAAATAAAAAAATAATAAAAGATATCAATTAAGCAAAAATCAATTTATAAAAAAAATTTAAGTTCGTCCGCCCTATTAAAAATTTCTTTCAAGTATTATTATCCCTTAATACAGTAATATACTTAAGGAAACGTTTTTCTTAAACCTTTCGTAGAAACTATGCTGTCCCCATTTACCCCAAATTAAAATTTTTTTTTTAAATCTTACTGTAAATAAGGACAGTCAGTTTCATGCGTTTAAAGCTTATCTAAATTTATTTCTGCTGCATAAAATTAATCCTGGGAATGTAAATAACAACTTAAAAAAATATAAACCAGCAAATATTACCTTTTAAAGGAAGCAACTTACGTAATTTGTGAAAAATAGGGATTTTGTCCCCATTTACCCCAACTGACCCAAACTTTAAACTGCCCCAAAAAAATAACGAAAAATTTTTTTTCTATATGTAAAAAATAACAAAAAAATTATGCAAAAGATAACTAAAAAAATTATGTAAAAAATAACGTTAAGAAAAAACAAAAAAAAATTCAATGTACAAAATAAAAAAATTAAAAAAAATTTTTTTTCATTTACAAAAAAGTTAAAATTTACAAAAAATAAAAACAACATTAAAAAAATATAATGTAAAAAATAACAATTTTTATGTTTTGTACAATATAACTTTTTTATAAAAATTCTTGTGTAGTTTTGATACCGACTCAAAAAATTTTGTTTACACTTTAATCAATTTTACTCATATTTTCAACATTGAAGACGGTTGTTGATTTATAATAAAAATAAAATGTGTTTTGATAATTAACTTCGTTATACATATGGGGCGGTCCACGCCATTCCAACATATCATCGACTTGGACATTTTTGATTTCGCTCAAATTTTTTTTACCTTTTTTTACTCATTGAAAAAGAGCTTCCTGATTTTTTTCAAATTTTTTTATAAATCCGTTTTCGAGATATAAATTTTTCAAAATCTTTTAAAAAAAATTTTTTTTTTTTTTTGAAAGCTCAAAACTTTTTGATAAATGCACCAATTTTAATTCTTTTTTTTCAAATTGTGTGTTTTTAAATGAACTTTTCAAAACTTTCATGCAAAAAATTAAAAAAAAATTATTAACCTTATTTTTTGTAATTTTAAGATAAAAATCTTATTTTTAAAAGTATTTGTATATTTTGATTTTTTTAAAAAAATTTTCAAAAAAACTACTTCTTATAACACAAATTTTAAGCCTAGTTCGGTCGTGGGAAAACAATTTTTAATATTTTTTTCGAATTTTTCAAAATTTTTAAACATTTGTTTTTTACTCAAATATGATTTCTAATGTTTCAATAAAAGTGTTAATTAATAAAAACTTATAAATGGAGGTAATTATAATAATAAACTTGTATTTGGAAATAAAATTTTGACCTTTTTTTTCTCCAATTTTTTGACGTTTAAATATTTTGCAAGAATAATTCTCATTTGAGCTGGAAAATATCCGCATAGTTAAAGGTCCATCTTTATTTGGGATTGCACAATGAAATTGTTGTGTACCCTAAATAGTTTTTGCCTTTGTATATCGAAGATTAAGAACTTCGGTTGCTCTTTTGTAATCTTCGATTGAGGAAAATTTGAAAACAATATTTTGGAAACTACTCGAATTTTTAGCCCATTCATATAGTTCATGTGAAGTTGAAATTTTTTTATCAAATGGCAACTGAAGACTTGCCCGTGCTGCTGCTCGTTTTACGGTACCTCCGACACCATCGCAAGGCCCTTTGCCATGATAACTCGCGAAAAAGTGCCATTCAGCATATATTTTAAAATCCTCTTCATGATAGTAAAGATTAACAAAATTTTTGAAATTTTTAAATTGTTGAGGGGCTCCATCCGAAAAATAGTACATTTTGTTAACATCTGGATTCAAAGTTTTAATATAACATGTTATAATTTTTAAAAAAACGTAAACTGCGTTTTATTATCATGAAGAGGATTTTAAAATATATGCTGAATGGCACTTTTTCGCGAGTTATCATGGCAAAGGGCCTTGCGATGGTGTCAGAGGTACCGTAAAACGAGCAGCAGCACGGGCAAGTCTTAAGTTGCCATTTGATAAAGAAATTTCAACTTCATAGGAACTACATGAATGGGCTAAAAATTCGAGTAGTTTCCAAAATATTGATTTCAAATTTTCCTCAATCGAAGATTACAAAAGGGCAACCGAAGTTCATAATCTTCGATATACAAACCCTGCTAAAAATAAAATCACAGAACGTCAAAAAATTAGTCAGGATCTCTGACGTTTTGAGACTGTTTTTGTTACGATTGCAGTCACAGAACACCACAATAAGTGAGGTTTAGTCAAAGAATCGTCAATAGTAGTCAGATTTTTTATGAGTGTCGGAGACCCTTTTTTTTGGCCATACCATAAATCATTAAACCCTGTGACTATTTGTGATGTTAAATGACATTTCTTTCTATAAAATAGTTTTAAAGATTCCTGACTTACTTCTCATGAATTCTGACTACAAATATTTAAAAATTTAAAAAAATCAATATTTTATCATTAAAAAAATAAATTATAGCACAACATTTTTTTATCTTTACGTTACACATACTTAATTATTATTTTTACAATTTATTATATTTATTTACTCCTATCGAAGAAAATCTCGCAAACGCAGAGGGAATCGAACTCACAACCTAACGAACGGAAACCGAATACCTAACCCCTGAGCTAAACTAACCTAACTGAGATCTTAAAATAAGAATACGGTTTTATGAAAATAGAAGATCTTATTACTTTTTTTCAATTTTATCAACATATTTTGTTGATGATTATTATTATTATTTTAAAAAGTTTTTATAATTTTTAAAAATTAACAAGTAAAGTTAAAATAGGTATATTGTTATATTGATCAAAAAACATTTGTAGCCCTGCTAAAAATAAAATCAGAAATCAGTCTCAAAACGTCAGAAATCCTGACGTTTTGAGACTATTTTGATGTTTTGTGATGCTGCTGACTAATTCTGACTTAAATAGTTTTTATGGGCCTGACGTTTTCTAAAAAGTGACTATTTCTCACTACGTTTTAATTTTTTTGTAAAAAGGGTTCCAAGAGAGGTACCAAGGCCACTCAAACCCACAATATAACTCTATTATATTATATATTCCCTTTTTCCAATAGAAGGGTCGTTTCGAGGGTCCATCAGGTTTTATGAATTTTTAATGCAAAATAAAAAATTATTTTTTAAATAAATATTTTTTTAAATGTTATATTTGTAATTTATAGATTTTAACGATTGCAATGATATAAAACATTATGTAAAAACTCTAAAATTACATAATGATTATACAATAAATACTCCATTATTTAAAATTAATACTCAATAATTTAAAAATATTTGCAAAAAATTTTATATCGTTGTAATTGTATTAACATGTACATTACGAATATAATATTTAAAAATTATTTTTTTCAAATGCAACAATTTTTAATTTTGCAATGAAAAGCCATAAAACCATAAAAGATCCTTCTGGCCTATACTTTTCTTTTTGTCCTTTTCTAACGTAAATTTAATATATATGGAATCACGTTTGTAAGACAAGGACAGAAAAGGGTCCCTACTTCAAATTTGTATTTATTATTTTACAGTAAGCTAGTTTCCTTATATTTAGTTATAAGAAAGCAACATATGTTGAAAACCTATTCTTACCACTGTGTTAACTCTATATATATATATATATATATATATTTGAAAAAAATTAGAAATCGCTGGCTATTTCACATAAAAGTTTCCCTATTGAAAAAAAACACGTATAATTATACGTATAATAAGACATACGAATTTGAAACAAGAATTATACGTATAATTATACGTATAATAATACGTATAATTAATTATACG